AAAAATACATCTCACATCATCATACATTTATAATTAATGAAACTATATGGACACTCAGTTACACATATTTCGTTTACCTCTTTAGTTGTTACTAATGTCCTTTTTCTTTTCTAGGACATTATCCGAGGCCCCACACGTCAGTCTCAACTGATCCCTAGGACTCCTCTGGCTGTGACAATGCCTCTGACTTTCCATGATTTTGATAACCCTGACACTTTTGAGGAGGACTGGGCCAGCATACTGAAGAATGTAAGTTGATTTCAGTTTGACTGGGACCATGCAGGTAAGAAGCCCAGAGAGATGAAATGCTGCCCTCACCGCATGGAGTTGTGCGCCCTGCCCTTGACTTGCCCTGAGCAAATACCTGTCAGTGTGGCCCCTGCATGTTGTATGGTAAGTCGCTTAGTTTGAGAGAAACTACTGACTGTCTGGAATAGTGGCTGTGCTATTTGTAACCCTGTCAGCAAGGAATGACGGCTTCTGTTGCCTGTAATTCTTACTAGTACTTGCTACAAAATTTCTTTTCTCATTTCTGTGACCAAATGCTTCACAGGGAGCTACACAGGGAGGAAAAGCCTACTCGGCTCACAGTTGACGGGAACAGTTCACTGAGGCAGGGAAGACAAGGCTACAGGAGCAGCTGGCAGTGCTGTTGGTGGGAGCCTGTTCACATCTGGGTGGGTCAGGAAGCAAAGAAAAAGGAATGACAGAACTCAGCTGGCATTCTCCTTTTCCATTTTCATTCGGTTTGAGAACCAAGCCTGTGCCATTCACATTCAGGCAGGACTTTGTTTCTCTAAAAAGTATGCCCAGAAGGGTGCTTTCTAGGAGATTCTGAATTCAGACAACTTGATAAAGAAGATTAATCATGAGGCTGGAGAAATGGCTCAGCAGTTAAGAGCGCTGGCTGCCCTTCCAGGTGACCTGGGTTTAGTTCCCAGCACCCACACGGCAGCTCACAACTGTCTGTGACCCCAGTTCCAGGTCACATAAAATTATATAAAGTAAATTATTTTTAAAAAGATTAATCATAAGTCTATCCATGTCAACTTTACACCCAAATTCACTTTAATTCATAATACCCTGCAGCTCTGTGCCCAGCATCTATGTCTGCTGTCTTGTGGCAACATTCCGGCTCCTCCAGCTCCGTCATCTGAAGCACTTGTGGCCTGTCTTCCGGTCTGGCTCCACCATGTGCCTTCTGCTTTTGTTGTTGTTGTGATTGTTTTGAAATAGGTTCTTGCTGTGTCACCCAAGGTTGGTCTAGAGCCCGAGACAATGCCTCTTGCCTGACTTCCACAGTTTCAGAATTATAGGGAATGAACTGTGACATACCTGTCAGAAATCTGAGTCATGGTTTGTTTACTTTAAGAATTTTCAGACATGTTTGTATTAGACCTGAGTATATTTATTTATTTATTTATTTATTTATTTATTTATTTATTATTTTTATTTTTCACACTGTGGTCAGGAACTCACATCCTGGAATAGACAGAGTCTGAACCTCAACAAGAACCACTGAGAAACAGTATCCAATAGCACATTCTGAAATCAGGAATGCTGGAGTCTGCTGTTTCTCAGGTTGTATATCCAAAGATCAACCTCACATTCAGGCCTCAGGTGGAAAAGCTGTACATGAGTTTCTGGCCACACTGAATCACGGAAGAGGCAACTGGCGGCCCAGCTCCTGGTGGTGAGAGAAGCTGGGCTCTTCCGTCTGGTCTGCTCCTGCCCAGGGCTGACGTAGCCAGTGATGCCAAGTCAGTCTTGGAAACCACAACTTCTCAGAGCTTCAACAGGAATTTCAAATGCCAAGGCCAGTGAGGGAATATCCGGAAAACCCTCACTCACCCAAGCACTGAGGCCAGAACAGACAAGGAGAGGGGCTGAGAGGAGGGCTGAAAGAGAAAAGGTTACCCTTGATTCTGGAGGGGAGGAGATAGAAACTGCTCCCAAGTCAGAACCAGCAATCTTCCTAGTCCAGGGGAAGAAACTGAAAATCATAAGAAAGAAATAGCTTGCTATTACTAAATAAGAATGCTCAGCAGGAGCCTAGCATGGTGGTGCACGGGAGGCAGAGACAAGCAGATCTCTGTGTGTTTGAGGCCAGCCTGGTCTACAGAGTGAGTTCCAGGACAGCCAGGGCTACACAGAGAAACCATGCCTTGAAAAACCTGATCAATCAATCTTTTTACAGGCTAGGGATGCAGGCAGATACCTTTCATCCAGGCACTCAGGCCAGCATCTAACAGTGAGTTCCAGCACAGTCAGGGCTACGTAGTTAGACCCTGTCTCAACCCTTCCCCCTCGCCCTCAAAATTATTTTCACTTCTTGTTTTTCTATACATCATTTCCAAGGAATTGTGTGGCTACTTTTTAGGTCTCAGAGAAACCCAAGACAAGTCTCACTCACTACCTGTGGCCCCTCCCAGCACTTCTCACGACACCCCATGCCCTCTCCCCACTTCTCTTCCCTCAAAAATGGCTATGGAACTCAGCCTTTTGGCTACACGTGCTCTCTTGGTCTCCTGGCTCACTCTTGGCCTCTTTGTCCATGGCTTCATGGCCCTTCTCTTGTCCCCCTTTCTCTTTTCTTTCCTGCCATCCCCACTCCGTGTTCCAGTTCAGTCTGCTGGTTCAGTCTGCACCTTCCCAGAATTCTCCCTCATATCCACAACACAAACTTCCCTTCAACCGGTCCTAGTTGCAGTCATGTCCTCATTCCACTCATACTTCCACTCTGTATCTATGGATGGAGCGCTTCAGCCAACTATGCTTTTCTGGGTCTGTATCAAAGGGCAGTCCCCTGGCAGCCCTGCCTCTTCTGTGATCTTCTCGGGAGGAAGCTTTGTGCTGTCCATGGTTTTGTTTGTTTGTTTGTTTGTTTTGTCCTTTGCTTGTTTTCCATTTTTCACTTTCTATGTATCTTCACTGCTTTTGTAGTGATAAATTTTCCCCCCAATCTTTTCCTTCTTTCTTTTTCTTTTCTCATTACTGTCTGTTTTCTTTTCTCCTTTGAGTTGATTTAATTTTTTGGTCACTGCTTTCCTGCTGAGCATTATTTTTTTTAATGTTTTTTTGTTTGTTTGTTTGTTTGTTTGTTTTTGTTTTTTTTGAGACAGGGTTTCCCTGTGTAGCCTTGGTTGTCCTGGACTCACTTTGTAGACCAGGCTAGCCTTGAACTCACAGAGATCCACCTGCTACTACTGGGATTAAAGTCATGCATCACCACACTCAGCAAGAAAGATTTTTTTTTCTTAAATAAACAAACCTTGGTGCTGGGGAGGTGGCTCAGAGGTTAAAACACGTGTTGTTCTTATAGAGGATCCTGGTTCAATTCCCGGCATCTACATGGTTCACACCCACCTGTAACTCCAGTCCCAGAGGATCCTATGCCTTCTGACCTCTGTGTGCGTAAACACACACAAGGCGCACATACATACATGCAGGCAAAACACATATAAGATGAAGTTAATAGGGCTAATTAAATTTTTTTTAAATAATTGCTCTTAAGAAAACAAATCTTGCAGGAGAAACCCAGCATCACTGCTTTGGGGGGATGTTTAAAGGGCACAGTCCCTGAAGATCAGGACCCGCAGGGGTTCCTTTTCCCTCCAGTAAGATGAAACCACATACTCTAATGAGTCAATAATCCTTAGTCGCATCCTAGAAGTGAAAGTGGAAGATTCAGAACTAGAGCTGTGCTTTTCTCTAGTCTTGGGCCATAGGGATTGTGAGTACCTCACATTTCTGATTCTTCTCAAGCTGCTGGAGTCTGTGAACCACCTGCTAAACTGTCCGACTATCGCCGCCAACCACATATTATCAGGCACTCTAAGTGCCTCAGGCTCTTCAGGTCTCTGGCCAGTGTATATTTAGAGAAAATTTTCTCATATAAGTTTCATGTCACCGTATAATAAGAAAGTGTTTTTATTTCCGTGTCCTCGAGGAGACCTCGAGCCTTCTGCTGTCTTGTCTTTTTGGAAACTGATCTGAGAGGGGAGCAGCGCGTGACATCTAGCTCTAAGATCACAAGATGACAGTGAGGACTGCTGCTGACCACAAACTCACCCCTTCCCGGGCAGGAAGCACACCTTCCCTTTACAAGTCTGCACCTCTCTCCAGATGCAGAACCTGTAATAAATTCTTCCTTTCAGTCGGATTTCTTCACTTCTTCACTCTCTAAAGCTGAACTTATCATTAAAGGAAGAAGAAAACTCGACTCAAAAATCAAATGCATTGATTTGCAAAAACCAAAACAAACAAACAAAACCCCCAGGTATGGTAATTCTTTGTATTTCCTCAGGGTAACGTGACCTGGTTTAGTAACTAGCCTCTGCTCATCTTTCTTTTAGATTGCTTCACACTCTGACTTGCTGTTTTTTCCGTGCACTCCCACTTGGACGGAGAAAATCAATCTGGAGTCCAACACCTTAGACATATAAATCTCCCTCAGGGTTTTCCTCAGTACTTAAAAATGTTTTAGACTCCACTCTTCAGCTTCATGCAACATGCTGGCAATTTCTTGGCCCGATAAAACCGAGTGTCCTTACACACGCTATTCAGAAAGCTCCTGCTGAATGAGGCTATGAAGCCTCCAGATGCAAGCGTCAATGCCTACAAAACCCTGCTCTGACTGAGGATCTGAGCTACCTCAGGGCACTCCACAGGTCAACTCTGCTTTTGATTTTGTCCAAACTAGTCCTCCAAAGAAGCAGTTATGGACATTTTGGGAGCAACTGGCCACTACAACCACTGGACTCCTAATGCTACCTGTCTCGCTCTGTGCCAGCTCACCACCTGGATCTGTCCTGCCTGCACACGTGTTCTCTCTCTCTCTCTCTCTCTCACACACACACACACACAGACACACACACACACACAGCCCGCTGCATGTCTGAATTCTGGAGAAAGCCATTCATTCTCTCCACACAAACCACAATGCTATAAAGTCCACAGAGGAAGAAGTCTCAATCGCTCTGGGCCTGTAAACACTGAGGATGGGAAGCCCCATGGTCACCGCCTTTCCACCGCTGCTGCTCACCGGGGCTGTGGCCTTGACCCAGGTCCGCGCAGGTGAGTGCGGGTCAGGGGGGAAACAGCCCTGGCAGACAGAGCGAGCTCCTCTCCTGGCAGGATCGCCTCAGGTCCCGGGAGGAGGCTGGGTCTCACTGCTGTCTGCCTGCCGCCAGGCTTCCATTCTTTGCAGTTTTTTTGCCACTGTCGTGTCCCAGCCTGGTCTGAGGGAGCCTTCCTTCATCTTCGTCGGCTTCGTGGACGACGCACAGTTCCTGTGCTACAACAACCAGGCGGAAAGTCAGAGGATGGAGCCTCGCACACTGTGGGTGAGGCAGATGGGGCCCGAGTATTGGGGGCGGCAGACTAGGACCGTCAAGGACATTGCAAAGAATTCCCTAGTGAACTTGCGGGAGGCGATGGGCGTTTACAACCACAGCGAGGATGGTGAGTGACCCGGGGGCCAGGAGTGAGGTCACGAGGTCCGAGGTTTGGCCCGAGGCTGCGGGACCCTGGATCGCAAGGGACCCTTGACTGGGTTTCGGGTATGGTTTTTGGTCCAAACACGACCTGGGGCGGGGCCGGGCTCTCATGTCTTTCAGTGTGTGTCTGGCTGCGACGTGGGGCCAGAGGGACTCTTCCTCCGCGGGTACGAGCAGCACGCCTACGATGGCCGCGATTACCTCGCCCTAAACCAGGACCTGAGCTCCTGGACTGCCGGCGACACCGCGGCACAGATCACGCTGCGCAAGTGGGAGGAGGCTGGTGTCGCCGAGCAAAGGCGATCCTACCTGAAGGGCGAGTGTGTAGAGTCGCTCCGCACGTACCTGGACATAGGGAAGGAGCCTCTGCTACGGGCCGGTACAGGGGCCCAGAGGATCTCCTCCACCTACCCTCCAGCTGGGGCCCCAGCTTCAAAGAAGGGAGGAAAACGGGCTGGGCTGCGGCACTGCTTCCCAGACACCAGACAGACAGCGACTCTCCTGAGGACTGCTGAGAGTCTGTCTCAGGAGGGAAGATCGCTGAAGTAACCAACAGCTTCCTTCACTGGACAGCCCTTTGTGAGCCATGGCTCTCTTGGCCTGTTCTCACTTTGGAGTCTGACTCTCGGCTCTCACCCAATCAGGACCAGAAGTTTCTTTCTCCCATGGGAGTCCTGAAGCCCATCTTGTCTGACTCATTCTGATTCTAGAGCTTTCCAAAGGAGTAGATTGTCCTGGATGTCTGGGTCTAGAATACTGTATGGTGCTTAAATCCCTCAACCACCCAAGTTCTCGCCATTTCCACTGCTTCAGTTCAGGAAGGAAGCCAAGATGCCTGAATTATCCAACTCTTTTTCACAGATCCTCCGAAAGCACACGTGGCCCATCACCCCAGACCTCAAGGTGACATCACCCTGAGGTGCTGGGCCCTGGGATTCTACCCTGCTGACATCTCCCTGACCTGGCAGTTGGAGGGAGAGGACCTCACCCAGGACATGGAGCTTGTGGACACCAGGCCTGCAGGGGATGGAACCTTCCAGAAGTGGGCAGCTGTGGTGGTGCCTTCCGGGAAGGAGCAGAGATACAGGTGCCATGTGCAGCATGAGGGTCTGCCTGAGCCCCTCACCCTGAGATGGGGTAAGGAGGCTGTGGGTGCAGAGATGATCTTTAAGAAAAGAGGGAGCCCTTCAGGAGACCCTGAGAAGGTCACAGCTGAGCAGTTGAGCGCTGAGGGCCAGAGCCCACACCTTCTCTTTCTTTCCCTTCCCTTCCCAGACCCTCCTAAGAATACCACCCCCACCAGTGGAATCATTGTTGGCCTGGTTCTCCTTGGAACTGTGTCCACTGCCATTGTGATGAGGAAGAGCAGAGGTAGGGACTAGGATGTGTCTGAGGGCTTTTGTCTTACTGTTTCTGGAAGGTATATTCATACACATGTGCTTTCCCAGTCTAGGATCTCATGTTGTAGCGCTTTCTAAAGCACATTTGAAAAGAAGTGACAAATATCTCACATTGATGTAATTGAACAGGACATGCCAGCAGTTGGGCTTTTCTTGCGTATCTCCCTTCCTGATTCTGCTCCAGGTCTTCAGATAATAATTCTTAAAACACTCCTTAGGTGTCAAACTCAGGAATTCTGCTGGGATTTCCCATCCTGCATCTTTCTCCATCTTTTTCTTCTTACAGATGGAAAAGGATGTAGTTACTCAGTCTATTCTAAGAGTTGACTTTTCCCACTTTATTTCTTTCCCTTGACCACTTGTCTCAGCTCTTGAACTCTCTTTACACTTGAAGGAAACACCCTCTGAGAGTCTAGAAAGGAAGGACACACCAAGCTCTCCATCACCTTCCCAAGAACATTCCTGCAGCTGAGCACAGCATGAGTCCTTGGTCCCACCAGTCAAATGACTGCATGCTGGACTTTGCTTCAGCATGGTGAGAAGAAAAAGCTGAAACTGCAAAGAATGCTTTTGTAGCAAGGAAACATTGCCATCCAGTTTTCAGGAGCTGCAGGGACCCACAGCGACCAGCACCTGTGTCTAGTGGCAGTGACAGTGTATTCTGTGTGGTGCCTTCGATAGGCCTGCATTTCCCAGCTGTGAATTCTCAAACTTGGTGCTGAAATAAAATAACATTTAGCCCTCCAATATCACATATACAATTCCTTTATGTTTAATAAGTGACAAGAATTTGAATTGCAGTATTTTTACCTAAAAGTTAGAAATCAATCAGGAAACTTTCAGATAGCAAAGAGTAAGAGGCTTCCATTATGTTAACTGCTTCCTAAGTCTTTCACTTGAAGCTAGATGCATCAGAGAGAAAGCCTTGCATCTACCAACATCACAAGTCAGGGCTGATGACACGAGTTCTCTCTTACCTCTCAGGGAAGACAATACATTCCTAGTTCAGGTTGTTTTTTATTGTGGGTGATGTCTGATGATTGGCATCAATGACCCAAACTTTGTCATATAAAATACTTGGGCTTCTTCCCAGACCTGTTTTAGATAGTTGGGCATAAAGCCTAGATCTTACCCCACATTTGAGAAAGGTTTAAATTTTTTCATTATTATGTGTAGGTGTCAGTGTGTGGGGGGG